TGTATATTCATCCATTTACAAATGCGTTTATTTATCATTACATTTATCGATGATCATATCCATCGTAGTCGCAAGAATAAGACTCGGAAGTCAAATAAGAATCATGAATGTTATACAAAGCTATTAATGCAGTGCAGTGAATGTCTCAAATGCTGTGAGTTAGAGTTTAGATTGGCCAAAATTTTGCAATTACTCAAAAACTCCCTTTTTCGGGTTATTCTGACCTAATTTAGCCACCACTGTCTTTCTTGCTCGCTCGTATTGAAACCTGCTCTCCTTTACCACTTCCTTTCTGTTCTGCTAATTTTTACCACCTGGAATGGAAAAATAATAGACAACCCTCTTTCTCAATTTTCCCTATTACCATCCTCCAGAAACTGGATAGAAAGCTAAATAGCAATCTAAATTTTGCAAGAGCACTCTTCCGGTCCACGGCTTGCTTTGATAGCGATCGCAGTTGTTGAGGACGGTGCAAATAGCTAAATATTTTCGTATGACGTCATTGGGGAATTTAGTGGGTCGGCTGACACTGTGCACTCATATATGTTGTCGCCATTCATCCGTTGTTCCCTGTCCTGCTCTTACGGACCGAAAAAATAGCATGAGTCATACGACTTCGTGGGTCTCGTTGCCATTTCTTTTAGGAAGGAAAAATAGCTGGGAACCTAATGGCTTTTTCTTACTATGGGAGTGAGTAGATTTACTCTGATTTTTTTACCTTTTCATGCCCGTTGATCTCAAAAAAGAATTTTTAACTAGAAATTCGACTTGCGATGTACTGAAAATTTGCTTACTCCATTGATATGTATGCTACAATAATTGCGTTTCTGCCCATTTTTGTACAATAGCATCAGGAGAAGGGGGGGGGGGTACAGGATTAGAAAGTCTATACTGACATTCATGCATTGAACTTGTTCTATTCAACGAGGAATGAATATTTGATTCCGTACCGGAATGTGCTTGGATCAATAAAAATTTTTGAGGCCATGCTAAACATAAGAGGCGTTTCGGCAGATTTTATCGGAAATAGTTTCTTTCGCCTCCCCCACTTCCTTTTCTTTTTCCAGAAAAAGTTCCTATGAAATGAGAATGAGAAACGAAAGTCTTTATGCTCCAAATGCTTTCCCCACTTTCTCCCTCCTCTTCACCTGTTCCAATTCCCTCAAACCCTTTATTCATTGCCTGTATTCGGTATTTCGCATCAGTAGATGTTTGGTCAATAGACAACTCATTCGGAAAAAACTGGTGACTTTGGAGTACCCAAGAATCCCTCTTCATCACCCCGTTCCCTTGCCGCACATGCATAGTTTGGCTACTGAAAAGAGCTATAATAACTCGCGGCCCACTTTGGCATTTTTTATGCTAGGATTATTTTTGGCTTTGCAGAGAATTCATTTTGGAATATTTCTGTTCCCACTGAGCAAACATAACCTGCAAAACTAAACTTCAAATCAGCCTTTGAGTAAACAGTTCGCGCTCTTTTCTGCTGCCATCCCTTCCTGAGTTTTGCAGTTTTTTGTATTTTTCATCTGTAAACTGTGCTTTTTTCGTTTTTTTTTGCAAGAAACGCTTGTTACTATAGTATCCGTATAGCTACTATACTACTTCTTGTCACGGATGTTGCCAACCAGTTTATAGACCATAGTTTATGGCAGGATCGTTTAGCACCAGATCGTGGACACTTTACAATCACCCGTGTTCATTCGCGTAGTAAAGTAGTGAGCAGGGCCAGATGAAGCCCGAATATACCCAGCTGAGCGATGTATGGTCATTCCGAACCCGTTCTCTCTCTATTTCTCTCTCACAAATGCCTCGAAATAAACGATCTGCGATCTGCGATCACGCCATGTGGTGTGGTGAGTCAGTTAGTCGGCTGTCCACATGTCATTCTGACCCATTTTTCTGCTTATTTTTTGACCCGCTGAAAGCATTTCTGTCTACATGCTACTAAGACTTCAACATCCTGGACACTTTTTTTGTTAATTTCGACAAAATTTCCCATCTGATAACCCTATAATCTGTAAATCTTTTATGCGCTCTGATTGTTTTTGTCGAAAGCACGCAATAAATTAGTGGTTCCATTATACAATTAGAAGCATAAATAAAAGGTAAGCACTTATTCTCTTCCCATTTCTTAAATACTAGCTTATTTTGGGTACATTTCAGTTACTCTATCTCTACTCCAAGTTTAGGTTTCAGTCCTGCTCGAAATTGAGAAAAAAACAATTTTTTCTCGACGCCTTTGTGTGCTAATTTTCTCCACTTTACTTTTATTGGTACGCGTTATAACTGAAACGTGAAGTAAAAAGATCACGATGAGAACCTCAGTAATATGATCATCAGCCGAAAGAAAATATGAAGCGCCCCTTGATTCAATTGGCCTGGCGGTTGTAAGGGCGAGGCTTCGTGCCCTAATTAAGGCTAGGTGATAGCGAGCACGCGCGCGGGAGAGACGCAGACTGCGCCGCTGGCGCGAGCGGCCTTAATTAGGTCACGAAGCCCCGCCTCCCAGACGCCAAGCCAGTTGAATCAAAGGTTAAGAAGAAGACAAAAAAGACAATTTGAGATATCATGAATATCTCTCGTTTTTACAAAATTTCTGTAAAATTACATATGCTTAATAATTATAACATCCGTGAAGTAAATATTGAAAATCAGTTCTGCATGCTTGATCAGCAGTTTTTTCCCTTAGTCATCAGCCACTCCCCTTTTTAGCCTTTGCCCTCCCCGTTTCTCATTGTCAGCTCATTGCCGAAATGCTTGATCATTGTGTTCTAACAATCATGTTTGTATATTATCATATTTTTTGACTCCCCATGTTAGCCGAAAGAGGGAAGCTTTTTTGTTTTACATTTACTAGCAACCCTACGAGTTATCTTTAGCAACAGCATCACCTGCGTCCCCCCATCACTCACCGCACTCTGTTTAATCTCGAAACTCGTCGACAAAGTTTATCTTGTAGATTCCTCAAGATATTTTGATCGCATTCTTTCCCTCGAGTACATATGCCCTCCCCCGCAATGAAAACATGAAACGTGAAATGTGTACACTTTGCTGACTGTGTGGGTTATCTCGCTAATGTGTGCATTTGCACATTTTCAAGGATGGAAATGCGGCATGATCCTGTCTCCTTGCGTTTCTTCTTGGTTTCCTTCTTGTTTAGCCACATTTAAGTATGTGTGGATTCCTACTATTCATTAAATGTTGTCCCTTTACCACTACCATGATTTTCCTTCCCATCAAGGGCGATGAATGTTTGGGGCCTTGAGCGTGTGCGGGCGTTGTGTTTGCGTGTACGTAGAGTGATCTCCGCTCAGAAGTGCAACTGCTTCAAATTGGTGTCGTAAAGTTGTTTTCCTTCTCTTCTCGTACTTTGCACGGAACCAAGTGCTCACCGTCTACGATCATTGACACAGTGCATTCGTGGTAAGGTTACGGGAAAAAACAACATTGGGGCTCGTGCCTATTTTGAGCACTCGACTCGGCAGTGCAGACTTACATCGTCATTCCTGAGGCTCAAGCAACTTTGCCTTTCGAAATATCTCAAAGTTTCTGTCCTAATTAGCTAAACGCATCCACAGCTCCTATACAAGATTCAAAACAGAGTATCTCTAAAAAGAAAGTCATTGTATAAATCCTACCACAGAATTCGTTTCAGTGCACCGTTTATACTGATTTTTTGATTAGCGTCTGTGTATCGTAAGCTTATTGGAGACGTGGATCACCTGTAGCATATATGAGTCACCAGGCAAATAATGGGGGGGGGGGGAGGCAACGCGCTTGAATTTTTGCAGCGGCGCGGTCTTGACGCCGATGAGGCGCAAAGACTGCATTTGAACTGTGGTGCCGCGATCGCATCCTCATGCAGTTCATACGGTAACTCTTCTATCATCCGATATGGAGTAAGCAAGCGTTAGCCTGAATCAGGGTGATACTTCTCTGCTTCATAATTCGCGCTTTATCGCAACAGCAGCTGTATCATATTGTGACAGGACCATGTCTGCTTCGATCCCAGTTTGCCGGTAAAATGGCGAAGCTCTGCGTCGCCGAGACGGCGCTCCGCTCCACCGTATACATCGGCCTCTCCAGGCTTAAACGGACTGTATATCGTCAATTCGTTGACCGCACAAACCCTGCGGACCACGCGCGGAGCGGCTGAATTGTCGCGAGAGCACGGCTTGTGCAATAGTGAATCTGTACTGGAGCAAGCGTTTTACCACGCGGCGCGTGCTCCGCAGTGATGTCCATTCCGCGCGGTCAACGAATCAACTATACCTCCATTGGCGAATTGGTTTAGCTATTCAGTCTAGGGAAAACTATCGCCAAGCCAACGTCGATTTGCCTGAAATACTAATTTCGCCGGCACCGCGTTCTGATAATTGATGCCTGCACGAAGTCGTTCGCATGCATGCGAAATGTACATTTGTGTACCATCACTATGCAAAAGGAAAATTCCGAAAGGGCATGTGTCCTTTCGAGCCATAATTGTCCCCCTGGTAATAGTACCAAGCACGAAACTGACACTACCCATTTGCAACCGACACAGCCTACTAAATCACCTACCGTAACCGAACAGACTAGAAATCTCTGCAAAGCTGCATAACCGGCTGAACTTGACCAAAGCTGCTTGCACAAACACTGGAAAGGCCCGATGACCCGCTCCGTGTTCGCGTTCATTGATCGCTTGGCGCATTTCGTGTGCACTCATCCCAGCGCTCATCATCAAAGCGATGGCGAAACACGTTCTTCGGTTATTTGCTTCTGTTTCTAATGACTTATTGTTCTTTCTCAAAGTTTAGTTTGATTTGTAAGGATATCTATTGTCTTCAATGGGTTAGACAAGGTAGTTTTTGCAACTCTGTGCTTAATTTTATAGACACTTTTTCCATTGAATTTATTGGAAGATTCATAACTGCAAGTTTAAGTTGCTAAGTGCAAAATTATTTTGATTGTTGGTCTTGGATCTCGTGATTATGGCCTTCTATGTCTAGGTAGTCGTAATGCACGAGTCTGAATTTGATAAACTTGAGCCTTGCCGTACTTCATTGGAGCATGCAAAACGTCAAGTGGTGAACGAATAACATCAATCTAGAGTTACTTTTTTGCAGTGGCAGTATCTTATTTGAGACAGTTTCTTCTTTGTGTTTCGATATATTAGAGCATAAAGAGTAAGACAGTTAATAGGGTTAGCGGACTTTTTACCCTTCTTAATTCGAAAGTTCTGCAGGAATAGAATAAAAGGCTTGAAGCAGTGTTTCTTCATGCGACGTATTCAACCGGAAGTACAGTTTAGGTCGTCTATCAGTTTTCCTCGCGCTTACACCCTTCATGCTGGTAAGCTTCGTTACTATCTGAGCTGATCAAAAAATTATCTTCATTTTGTTCACTTCTTCAGATCTTTTCCCTATTCGTTTGCAGGAAAAGTTGAAATGTTCATCAGTAATGCATGCACAAATGCACAGATGTGGGTGCGTTTGGTCTCTTGGCCTTCTGTCCAGCTTTTTCTTCCGCATCCATGCAATTCTCGCTCGGTGCTGTGTAACGTTCCTGGTTTTTCGCTGGACGGCAAATTCTTTGAGATGTTTGACCGGCATGGACCTGTCGCTCGTTCTTTGCATTCCTTCTTTTTCCAAGACAAAGCTGCCGACGTCACTTCCTTCTTTAAGTTTTTCCCAGTAGTCTCAGCAGGCTTTTCTGTGCCGGTGCAGCTATGTTCTGAGTTGCACTTTATGATGAAAACTCTTTTCCCTTGGACGACCACATTCCAGTGCAGTTAACAACAACAAGTACCAAAAAATGTCTTGTGCAACTATCCAGTTTCGTTGTTGTCATCTTTCGTTTTCCAAAACCTGCTCTTGACGGTTACTAGACGTTTCCGGCAATCCACATGTAATCAACAAGCAGCTTATATTGCTGAAAACTTACCTAATAACATTGATTGTTAGGCTCTATAGTTTCGCATATGAACTCATCAATCATTGTAGAATAATGTTTGAATCATCAGTACCCTTTTTGCCGTTTGGCAAACTCGACAAAGTCAGGACAATCGAATTCATAATTCTCAAGTTTGCTGGTGGTTTTCTGCCTTCGCACTTTTTAAGCCAGCCAAAAATAGTGCTTTATTGAGAAAGCCTGTTTTCTGTTTTTGTGCCAGCTTGTATCACAACATCAGTGGTGGGGCGATCACGTGAATGCTTCTCTTGGAGGCTACATTTTTTATTCTGTGCTTATCTAGCGTTTAGTTGTATGCATAAGAAAACCGTCTGCCTTTTAATCGCTTTTCGTTTTGATTTGCTTTCGAAGCTTTTTTCGAGCTTCTGGAGGTGCTTTTGCTAACAATAGAATAGAATACTCTTGAAAGCTGGCCACAAGTCTCTGGTTTTATGCCTCTATGCCTCCATTGTCTGGCTTTCCATTTTCCTCAAAACTGGCTCAGCATCGATTTTTATGCAGGTAAAGTGCATCTAGGCCAGCACTGCTTCTTTCTTATTCAATCTTTTGAGAATGATGTTTTGTTAGTGTTCGCCTAACATGAAGTAACGGCCTAATTTTGCGCACAGGCTGTGTCATTCGAGCTAGACTAGGTTTCGACCCACCAATTTGATTTCTGAAGAAATCAAATTGGTGGGTCGTACGACTTTATTCAGATAAAAACTTCACTTTGCTGAAGTCTGAAGAATCCTATCATGTCGGTAAGTGGTCGTTCATCTATTCTAACTGTTTTTCGAATCTATACAAATTGACTTTTCTTTACCGTCTACGTTTTCTTTTGTGTTGAATTTTTGATAGCATCAAATTGACTTCGCGCACGTTCGATCTTTGGCGTTAGTTTTAACGTTTACAGTATCGATTCATTGATATCATAGCTTTTCGCCGAAACAGTCATCATAGCATCATCAAAACTTCTCTTTCATGACTTCAGGAAATGTATGTCAATTTGAAACATTTGGTTCGTTTCGTTACCAAAAATATTTATGCCATTGAATAGTTTCATTACCTAAGTCACATAGCTTACTTTTTCTGATGTAAGTGTTAGCAGAGTCCAGCTGAGATCTTGAATAGATTTATTCTTTCAGAAACGTTTGCCCAAGTTTCCCCAACCCATCCATCATATTTATCCAAATCATGGGGAAGAAGCCAACCTTTTCGCGCTAAAACTTCATAAATAAAACTCTGAACACTTCATGTGACGTTATACGTTTTTCGACCAGTGTGTGTAGCAGCGATTGCTGTGTAAGCAGATTGTAGATAAGAAGGCATCAAAATGACCTTTATAGCATTATACCGGTGCGACTACAAAATTTCTATCGTGAAGTCGTGTGTTTGGGTGCAAATTGTACCCATCCGACGATTTTCGACCCCAACAATGCCCTTAGCAAAACATTTGAGAGCAGCAAAGCGAAGTTTTGTGCCACATTTCATCATGTTTGCCTTTGCGACTTTTTATTCAACATCAGAGTCTGTGTAGACATAGGCCTTAGTGCTCATGTGCTGAGTTCAGTTGATCTATGCTTATTTAGTCCATGCACACTCTTGTTTTTCACTGCACGCGTCTGCTTGGCTGTCACTCCGGTCCCAGCTAGTAGTTTTATCAGCAATTCGGTTAAGTGGAGTCTAGCATGGCTTATGGAGAGGGAAAATGAACTAGATGCTGCTGTATTATCGCAGGTATTAGCATTGAACATGATTTTTTTACCCCTTCATTTTGCCGTTCCTTCATTTTGTGCCTTCCTTGGTTCCTTTGCTGCTCTCAAAGACCTTGAGTGGCTCTGCTACATGATGCCAGAAAAGTGCGAAAGATTTCTCAGCAGTTTTATGGCTCCGCACTTCCTGAAGGTCCATAATGGAGCAATTCAGTCTGCTGTGGTCGTGCTGCCATAAAAGTGTTGAGTTCAAATCTTTTTTTTTACCTAGAAACTTTGTCTAACGATTAGTCAACCACATTGCAAATTTATCCCTCCCAATGTAATACTCCTGTCATCATTATATAAAGCACTTGTTTTTGTCAGATGCGATCATATAAATATGGGTAATGAGCTCGCGGATATGTTGTGGACTATAACGTGCCAGTCTCTGTATAAACATCCATTGCTGCTGGAATACATTCATCGCATTGCACTTTACTCTAGCCATATACGTTTTTTAGGTCCTCATTAACATTCCGTCATTGAAAAGGCTTCTTTCTTCGTTGTTTGAGGCTTCAAGAATGCTTTATCACTTCAATTTTTTCCTGTTCCATTTACAATGCCATGTGAATACCGCTACCGCTCTCAATCGTCAGTCAGCCGCTGACTTTTGGAGAGCTCTACTTTCCCTTCTCTTTTTCTCTGGTTAGGCTAAGCAAAGGGAGCCAGTATTTATGACGGAATCGAGGGAATTTTCTAGAAGAACATCTCATTTTTCTTTCGATTGCGCATGCGTGTTTAGTGCAGTTGCGAAACCAAATGTATTACTCTCGCGTGCAGAACGCTGTAGAGGTGAAGCCTTCGGCGGCAGGTTTGTGCTTTTTTTCCCATGTTTTGGCTTCCTTATCGATGGATCTTGAGGCTTGCATGTATATCGTTGATTTTTTAACGTTAATTCTGCCGTAAAATGTTTATTTTGTAGCCCTTCTACGTGAAATGTGCGCTCTCCTGAAAATGTGCGAATATTTTTGATTCAGATATAGATCATTAGCAGTGGAAATATTGCAGTGGAGATTTTTTTAAAGTATATGTTCAAAAATTGCCTGAGCATGCTAACTTGTAACTCCATCTGTCAGCCAACTATTTTTTCCGTCTTTCTTGGCAAAATGTAATACATCCTTATCTGAAAGCGTTATGTAAAATTTGCACGCCATTGTTTTTTGCTAGCGAGCGGTTGCCCTCTCATTATCAATTCAGTTGTATTTACATAAACCATGTTTTCCCGTCGCTCCACATATGAGCATTGAGACTAACAGAGTGTTCATAGTCAGCATGTTCAAAGTTCGAAATCGCAGGAATTGAAATCAGTTTTTATTGAATTTGATTGCAATCCGTTGCAATTAGCACTATTGTGATCGATTTGGATTCGGTGTGGTTTGTTCTTAATCCGTTTAAATTAACCAGCAAATCTCAGTTATACTTTCTGCACTCTGCTCCTACCTGATTTTTTGATTTTCACAACTGGTATTGAACGTGACCGGATGTTGTTCGCAATATTACATACCACAGACAACATCTGCGATTGTTTTTCACTGGCAAAATATTGCTGCTTGTCGCAATTATTGTCCAGTGTCGTAGATTGTTCTAGTTTTGTTATGCCAGAAAGTACAGCAAGCATTCGGGTGCTAATCTTAGGAGTTTTTTGAGCTTCTTCATGTATTTGTAGACAATGCACCTTCGCAGAAGATGTGAAACAGGTCCCATCTTATAACCTGATTTTATCAAGGTAATGAAGTTACAATGTTGAAAAAACTTGCTCGTTTCATGCTGTGTTTCGTAACATCGAACCACCCCTTGCTGCGGGAAATGGATTGGCCGGCATTTTGTTTGATGGGAAATCTAGATGCCTTTTTTGTGCAGTTCTAATGCCATGTAGAGGTGAGTTCGCTTGCATTTTCAGTCCCTTATTTTCAGTTTTGCCTACATATCAGACTGCGAAGCATTTTCTTATGCGCGGAACCTCCGTATTGACTAGTGGGGGAGGGGGATATTACCGAAAGTGCTGCAAAATCTCCTTTACTTTCTAGTCCGTTTCTTTCTAATATCCCACGCTATGCTCATCTTTTTCCCATATTATTTCATGCGCAGTGTTTTCAAGTTTCTCATGGGGGTCCCACAGAAGGTTGACAGACCCACTTATTGAGGATGACAGGCAACGTTCTCAGATTCTCAGATGTCAAGAGTTTGTCAAGAGTTTTTCCTTTGCACGACGTCTGAGAACTCGCAGAATTTAGTCTCCTGCACTCGCTAATGGAATTGACTAATCGGGGCATTTTTGGTCGTCAGGTATGTTATGAGGGACACTGTGGAGAAACTGACCGGACCGAACACCGCAACAAGCAAGCTTGCAAAATGAATGAGAAGTACTACAGCTCTCAGAGATAGCCCAGTGATTGTGTTTTCGCAACATCATTAGTCACATGAATCAATGTGTATTTTTTAATAGGTGCGATTCTTCCTCAGAAGAAGTTGATGGGTAACTTCCAGGGGAACAGTTGTTCAGATATCAATGATTTACGAGCACAGCATGATATGCGATTTTTGAGACGCAAGTTGTTTTGCAACAAGAGCGTGTTGTACTTTGATCGAACACCTCCACATCAAGGGAAGGGATTTTTACTAATTTAGGTGATAATATCGTTTACGTGTTCCTTTCTATGGAGCAGCTGCGTAAAAGTGTCAGAAACGACTTGGATGATTGATAAAAACTTAAGTAGATGTCAAAATTTTATCTTACGATCACAGATAAGCATATGCTACTTTTCATTTGGTCAAGAGAGTCGTCGCGTGGTCGATAAGATAGCCACGAGCGAACAAAGTCCATCACGAACGAGCGCTCGATGGCGCCGCCGCGGTGGACGGTGATTGCAGCAGTCTCTCTTCTTTTTTCACCCATAAAATAAGCCCTTTGTATCATTATATATGTGATGCTTGATGAGACTCGCTCAATGGGATAAGCTGTCGTTTGCGAAAGTGCAGCTTCTGTGACAGCCAGCTTATTAAGTGAGCGAACGCTTCGGACATTTGCATTATGCTTGCGGGAATTGAGCGTTATGGAACGACTTTGCTGGAACGGCGAAGCTTATGCTGGTGGGCTGTTTTGTTCTTCATGGATGTATTGCCAGTACTTGCACTATTTTTCTTTATAATTTGTTATAAAAATTTTCTCTTACTTTTCGTGTTTTCAACTCATCTGCTCAATGGTATTTTTCAAATTTTGCTTCACTGCATTCGACAAATCGAGGCTGTTCTTATTGCAGTATCCATTCGTGAAACACGCTATAATGTCAGCGTAATTTGATACTTTGCAGTAGTTCTTCAGATTGCAGATTGCTCCTTCCTAACTCTCCTCCTCCAAATTCAGTGTCCTGTTTCTGAGCACATTCTCAGCCCAAAATACATAAAATTTTGCTTACAACGATGTGTCGTTATTAGCATAATCGCTCTTCTTCGCTCTTATGGATTTGCTGTGGGTGATGTCATTCAATTTTCGTTGACTCGGTGACGTTTTTGATGTTTCCTGATATTGACCAGGCTGAGTCATCTTATATTTCACTGTTGTAATCTTCGCGTTGATCTTTAACGACGACGTCGTTATCGTGACTATTTGAAGTCCTAAGTTTTACTTCTAGGTGGTAGGTGTCCGCTCACACACACACAACTGGTCATTTAGTGGTCATTTCGTGGATTCGTCGACTCAAGAGCCACATCACACTATATTCGCTATCGATTGTACTAGATGTTCTAAAGTAATTGAAACTACTTGCAACAATGGACTACGCATACCGAGTCCTGAGGAATATGAGATATTTTTATAACACCATCAATCCGGCAACTCTTTCAGGTAAGGATCTGAAAGTTTACTTCTTCAAATTTGCTTTTTTTTTCTTGTACCCCAATAAGTTAAATGCTCTTTTGTCCTTGAATCTGGGCATGATAAGATGTCAGTAGAGTAATTAGCGAATAAAAGACGAGGGACTCCAACAGCACCGTTGGGACGGCACAAGATAGAGGCGCATGCGGAAATGATTACGAAGTCAAATGCACGATATTGATATGCGAGACTGAAATTTGCGCAAGGAAACTATTTGAAGCCGCGTGGATTTCTGTCAGAAATTCAAAGATGAATGACAAAAATGAGTGCTTGTCTATCACTAGTGACTTAGCTCCATTCATATCATTATATGGGCTTAGCGTCGCACATAATAGGACTTGACTCATTGGGTGACACTCAGTAACGTCCGTTACGACCAAATGTGCGGGCTTGTCGCTAGCCGGTGGAATCGAGGTTCGTTCGTTTCCTGGCCTTGAGGATCTCATGCTGCGAGTCTTAGACTAGGTCTAGACTGACAGAGTGGGAGGAGGCGCTTGAAGGTATGGTGAGCTGATGACGGCGACATTGTCGAAACGGTCAATAAACTCTTCACCACAGAATCTGAAGGCACAAACTACTGACACAATTACTCTATTGTACGCCAATATTTTTTTCCTCGTTGTATTGAACTTTTCTGGCTTGGCTATCTTTCTTGTATTGTTACAGCGTTTAGCTTGAGAGTTTTCATTTGCATTTTTTATTTTCATTCCAGAGGTAAGAAAAGAAATTATATTTTAAGAAATAAAAGGAAAGGAAGTAGCTAAATTTCGTGCAGCTCCTCTTCTGCCTCTGCTGTTCTTTTTCAAATTTTTTCTTGCTCTTCATAACTAGAACAGGACCACATTAGTGGCGCCTCGTCGCTTGGTTGCACAATATTAGATCAGCGCAATAAATTTGCTGGAATGGATCATTAGCGTCTATGTTCTAGGAGCCATTGATGTGATTGTGGTGGAACAACCGGATGGCGAGTATAAATCTACTCCATTTCATGTACGCTTTGGAAAATATGGAGTGTTTAGTCATAGCGACAAGGTACGCAAAGACAAGGCTTTTCTGAGTATTTTTTCAAACTATATCTTTCTTTAGTATGTCGATATCCAAATCAATGGTGAAGAAATTGATTTGAAAATGAAACTTGGCGACAGTGGGGTTGCGTTTTTCGTTGAAGAGGCAGATGGACAACAAGAAGTACCGTCTTATATGCTGACGTCGCCGCTACCCGAACCGGGTACGCCTATGCAGCAAAGCATAGATGAGGTATGGATATGGTCAGTGTTTTTACTTTGCTGTTTGAATATTCGGATTATAAAGGTATTGACGGAAAGCGCAAAAATATTGGGTGAGAAGAAGACAGAAATAGAGGTTGAACGAAAGAAAAGCACAGTAAAGGAGCCGGTCGGTCCTGATGCTACAAGAAGTAGTCAGGATGCGAAACAAGAGTGAGTAAACAATAACTGTGCTAAGTTAATCCTTAAAACAAGCCCTATGTGTACAATCTTGAAAGTCTTTTTTCAGGCAGTCCCTGCAAGAGGTGCAAAAGATGAAAGGAAAGATGCCGTTCAACTCTTCTGTATTCAGCATTAGGAAAAATAGGTAATTTAAAGTCTGCTTAGAAGTTTGCAAAGCCATCTGTTCACTAGTAAAAGTTGTATTTCAGATCTTTACCAGACCTTCAGTCCTTAGCAGCGCATGCGAGTGGGTATCATTCGGATGGTGAGGCAAAACCACCTAGTACGGTACCAAAAAAGTATGTTTTCTCTCATTTGTTTCAAAGATTTGTTCTTTTTGCCTTTAATTTATTCCTATTCTCTAGATTCCCGTCAAAGCTCCTCCGACATTCCAAATCACAAGCATTCGATAAAAGTTTGAAGCGAGAGAAGTCTTTGGATGATCTGGATACGCCCAGGACTGCTGTTCAGCGACGGAAGAAGAGCCGAATCTCTTTTCAACCCATCAGCATCAAAGTGGATGTGAGTTGAAAGTCGGCCGTTGCTTACTCGTATATTATGAAGTTGAATTGTTTATCCGTTTTTTAGACTGAGTCCGATTCTGAAGGTTCATCTTCCATGTCATCTAGCCCCACTCACTCAATTCTGGATGCTCATGATGTGGATCATATCGCAGATGGAGCGCTTTCCGATTCAGAAGTAGACAGGCATAGGAACACGCCTGACCCGGTAAGTATCAACGCAGGCTTCAGGATTTTCACTCCTATAAGACTTATCTTGTTTCAGCATGCCAACGACGTTACGGACTGGAAATGGGGTCAAATTCCCGAGACACGAGAGAATAAATTGAAGCAAGAACAAGCCAAAGCAGCTGATACCCTGAAACCAAAAGTGAGCTATCATCTATACTTTTATGCTTAATGGATTCACATCTGCTATTTAGGAAGAATCTTCTGGTTGGACGTGGTTCCCATGGGGTCATCGTTCATCACCCGCCCCAGCTGCTCGCCAAGCCGAAGAAGGCATATCGTTAGATGAGCTTTTTAGTCCTGATGCTGCCTCGGATCCGTCAAAAATCCAGAAATACCTAGGAAAGACGAATAGCACTGCGTGAGTGTTGTTTGGCATTATTTATGAACAGTTTTCTATCGCTTTTGCAAAAAAATGTACAGAGCTCAAGTTTTTCTCCTACCTCCAAAATAATACTTCCAACCATACTGATGCATACGTCGTACGCAACGAGAGGCCGCTATCCTCTCTTTAAAGTCGAATACATCTTAGAGCGATTTAATCATGAAACTACCATTTCCAGGGTTAGTATTGACAGTGGACATGCTTCACGTGGCCCATCACAGCCTTCAAGTCCCTCAGTCGGGATGGAAGAGCCGAACTTGGCAGATAAGGTAGTGATCAAATTCCTCAACATTTTGCAGCATTCTTTATTGCTGTAATTTTAGACTCCTACCCAAGAAACCGCTATCGCGACCGCTATCGAGCATGAAAATGAACGAACGCGCAATGTCAGTGATGGAAGAAGTGCGGTTAGCAGCGAAGACATATTGTGAGTTTCTGAACTTTCTCTTTTTGGATCTCGATATGTTCTTTGTGAGACTTCTGCTTCATTGTTACCAAATCTGCGGTCATTTGTCTTTTTGTTTCAGCCCATTAAGCGAGGACGAGATTGAAGATGTGAAGGAGAAAGACGCAGAATTGCGGCCCGCGTATATGCTTTCTCTTCGATTGTCTTCTGAGAAGTTGAAAGCTCTTGGCTTGGTTTATGGTGCCAATGAATGCAGGTTCAGCATCACTACGAAGTTCCAGGTTTGTGAGGCTTTGCTTCCCCATGGTTTCTTATTTTTTTATTGTCATGGATTACTTTAGGGAACGTCCTGGTGTAGCTGCAATATTTATCTCTACAAATGGTATGAAAGGATTGTGATCTCCGATATAGACGGTACGATAACGAAAAGTGACGTGCTGGGCCATGTTATACCCGCCATTGGAGGAACTTGGGCTCATGCAGGAGTGGCTGAGCTCTATAGTAGGATTAAAAACAATGGGTAAGTCCCCATTTCAAACTGGCTTGCATTTTATCGATATGCACTATTTTTCCAGCTACAAGATGGTCTATCTGTCGTCTCGAGCCATAGGGCAAAGTCATACCACGAAGCAATATCTGAAAAGTATTGCTCAGGACTCCAAACAATTGCCCGATGGGCCAGTGTTGCTATCACCCACTAGCGTCCTGATTGCCTTCAGAAGGTAGTTTCTAGATTCTTGTAGCTCATAAGATTACTCTCAGTTAGCTCATATTTTTAGGGAAGTGATTGAACGTCGGCCAGAAGAATTCAAAATCGCTGCTTTGAGTGATCTGAAGAAGCTGTTTCCGGTCAAGCAACCATTCTTCGCTGGTTTTGGCAATAGGGAGACGGTCAGTCCTCTTCTTACATTACTTACAATTTGATTTTCATATTCTTACGTATTACCGTGACGTTTTTTGATTTTTTTGTGCCCTACATCGCATATTATTCTAGGATGTCACATCTTATCGTGCTGTTGGTATAATGCCAGCTCGTATACTTATTATCGACCCATCCGGACGAGTTCGACGCTCGGATTCTGTTGGTTACGTTAGCAGTTACTCCTCGATGGCGACTGAAACTGTGGATTATTTGTTCCCGCCATTAATGAAAAGGTTAGCTGAATCTGAGCGAAACTTCCAGGGTGCGGGATTCATGGCAATGATAGCTTAGTGTTAAGTTTCAGTGTTCTCGTAAATACTCTTATTTAGCGTTACAAGCCGCAGTTCCTTCAACGATCTTTCGTCAGGAACATTGCAACCGACCTGGACAAATCCATTAGAGTGCAGGTATGATATTTTACTTTGTAGAAAAAAATCATTGATGGAATTGTTCTAGTTCATACACTTTCTGGAAATCACAAAACGGCCAATCAAATGTCACTGATGAAGATTTCGTAGCTTACGAGGCAAAACGAAAGGAAGCTGCTGAGAAAGCGAAGAAGAAGTAGTTTCTGCGTTAAGCTGCCGTTAAGTGCTCATTGTTAATCGTTGCTCCTTAAACTCAGATCTGAACTTCTCACATGCCCATTTTTCAGTCACTGTGCACGGATATTCATTGTTGAGGGTTTGATTCCAGATTCCTGTTCACAAAGTACTGGTCTGTTCAGCTTGATATGGGTTTAGAATATTTCCTTTCGCACATCCCTCATCATTCGATACATTCACTAATCTAGGGTAATTAGTAAATTGTTAGTGATTTGCATCGGATGATATGTGTAGTACAATTCTCCCTCACGGTGTTGCCTCATTCAATGGTCTTTCTACTTTAAGCCACCCCATAAGTGGCCTTTCACAGTCGCTTATACTCGTTCTCGCTCTTCTGAGTCATTATTGCGTATGCTCAACAGGTTAGTGTTCGTAGTTTAGAGATTGTAATCTATTTTTATTTGTGAACCCATTCCATAGAAGCCATTACAAAAAAAGTTCCATGCATCTTAGTTTCATAGTTTTTTGCTTGAATGCTACAACTTCTATACTTGCTTCTCATTATTCATATTTTCCTTTGACGGCTCTAGATAGGGTATTTTGTTTCACTGCGTTTTGTTATCGCATGTATGGTAGATTAACATATATGATTCGATTCTTATACATCATCCCTACCGTCAACATTCTTGCGGTTTATGTACTCGTTTTATTTTTTGTGGTATTACTCGATATCAAGGTTTGAAAAATGCTATATTTGCAAAAAAGTCATTCTTATCTCAGCTACTAAACGGTCAATGTTTTAAGATTTTATAAGAACCCATAAAAATCTTGGATTTCGAATTGTTGTGTTTCTTTGTGTATTTCGGTACTACAGGTGCACTCGGAAAACGTATTGTTATGGGAAGTTGAATAAAGGGTGCTCGCTTGCCATGATTAGCAGACCACTAGAGACAATTTTCACAATAAGTCTCCATACTAGAGTATTGGTTTCTATACTCTGTCGTAGGGCATTCTACAAGCAATGAAATTGTCATGAACTCTTATCGTCGCGCTTTGCTGCGAACTATCGACGAAAACGCGCAACGCGATCGCTAATCGCTCGGACATGGAGGATGTATGTCATGAGGCGCGATTTTTACTGCCAGTCGGTCATCAAATAGCACATCATTTGTTCTACATCGCTCAAGATGCGTTTGAAATCTGTAAGATGTTCTATGAAGTGGCCGCATGGATTGTTCAGTCTCATTACCACAAAATGAAAAAGTTTATGTTAAAAATCGAAAACTCTTGAAAATGCAACCAACATAGCTTCAAACAGCTATTAGAGAAAGCACTTTGTTTGGTACTTTGTGGAGCTTCCATAACGCTGAACTGGACTTCTGAGTTAAAGGCACCGTCCACCCTAAGCTTCCATAACGCTGAACTGGACTTCTGAGTTAAAGGCACCGTCCACCCTAAGTTGAGGGTGTTGAGCTTTTGGCAGTATATAACAGTAGGGCCTTCTATCAAGCCAATGCCCAAGTCGCGGCGCAATATGCCGCTTCGGAACCGAGAAAATCGCTTCGGAATAGCGAAGATGCACGAGGACCCCCATCCATGCCCGCCCCTCCCCATCCATGCCCGCCCATTTGTGCTCGCTCATCCAATCACCGTTCTGGAAAGCCGGCCTGTGGGCTCTCTGGAATGGGGATTATCGGGGTTTTCGCGGATTCTCGACTTCATATTGGGAATCAGGGACACGAGAAGGCCCTGAAATGACAAAAACCTGGAAGTCGAGAATCTGGGTGGACGGTGCCTTTAATGACCCACATAGAAATCGCATCTGTTGACCCTCTCCCGGACATGGGCATACCAGTGGCGGTCCGACGAGGGGGGGGGGACGCCCCTCCCCGAGAATGGGTCGGGAATTTTTCGAAAGTTACTTATAGAGTTGTAAAAATGTGCAAGTGACTTGTTTATACCCGTAAATAATTAGAATATTCATTTTTAAAAATTGAAATCAGCCTTATAGGCGGCAGCCACGAATTATATTTTGGGGTCTTGGGCCTGCAAAAATTTTGGGAAGCATCCCAAAAATGTTTTCGGAAATTTTTGGCTGACGCCACGTACCTTCACTCAGGAAAATTTTTTTCTCGCGCCGCGTCAGGTCCGAAATCCTGCGGCCGCCACGGCAACCACTGCAGCCTTTTGTCTTCTCATAATCAAGTGCGCATACTAAGAATGGGTAGTCTCATCGAATGATCTTTTTTTCGCGCTTTGATGCAAACACTAACAAGTAATAAAGGCAAAGCGTGGTTATCACTTTCAGTGCTTGTTCTGTGATCAATGTTTACAAGTAAACATGCCCAACAGCTCTCTGTCAAAATCGTATTTTCCTATTCCGCGTTCAATGGACGTCCTAAGAATAGCCTATGTATATATAAGGTGTGCAAGTGTGTGTCGTCAACCCCTCCGGTCGACATAGGTACTTTTTGAACACCCTTCACTTTTGCGGGTTATGAATAGCCGAGACACTCTTCACTTTGGGGTACCCGGCTCACTCTATCACACCTATGGTCCAACGCGACGTCGATGATAGGGTCCGGCACATCCGTTTCTAGGCTTTTTAAAAACGGTCCCCCTAACTTTTAAAAATTTTTACAAAGTCCCTTGTGACCCTTGCTATACCCCCCCCCCTCCGATTGTTGGTGGATCCTTGCACTTAGTTCTTGACAAAACCATTTACCCGCTGCGAGCTGCGAATCTCGCGATTTCTGGTCAATCTCTCAAAGAAAAACCACAGAATCCACAAAATTTTGCTTCGTGAAGTCCCACATGGTCACAGAACGATCAAAATAGATCACGAGCTGAAGAAAGAAGAAGAAGAAGAATGGAAGAAATCAAAATATAGCGAATAGGCCCAGCTAAGCAAAAATTTCAAAATCGACTTTTTGCAAAGACACTGCCTTTAAGTAAAGTTATAATGTGTTATTAACGGTTTGATGTGATCTACTGACTGAATTGTTATATCCAATTGATTATTTAATTGGACCAGCAATCAAACAACAAAACATCAAGATGAACAAATTTCCTATAGGTACAAAGGCACTGAACCCAGGATCCAATACACTCTGATAAAACTGGACTATTCCAATCCTCAGATAAGAAATCAGCTTCACAAAATAAAGAGTGATCAAATCTTTCGGCAAGAAATTCCAATCCTAGCAGTGCCGTCGCGTCGCTCTTCTAGATTCGATTTCGTTGGGATAAGCCAAAATCGAGACGATTTCGCTGAGCTAGGGGCCTAGCAAAAACGGTCAGCGATGCGTCGCGTCGGACCATAGGTGTGATAGAGTGAGCCGGGTCTCCTCCAAAGTGAAGGGTGTCTCGGCTATTCATAACCCGCAAAAGTGAAGGGTGTTCAAAAAGGGGATGTTGGCGACACACACTTGCACACATATATACATAAAGACTATTTTTAGGACGTCCATTGAACGTGGAATAGGTAAATACGATTTTGACAGAAAACTGTTGGGCAGTGTTTACTCGCAGATACTCATGAGTACGGTCAGCGCTGATGGTCTTACAGGACTCAGTCATCATTTGGACGATATCTGAAAAGGGACAATTCCTCTCAGTGACACTGAAATCATTGCTGAAAACAGATCACCGTGTCAGTATTTGATGCAGGATAATAACTTGTTGTCAAACTCCGCCCAATTCAAAAGATGTGCCACAGAAGCTTTACTTTTATTCATCACGGGTAAAATAAGGGAAGACCTGACGATCTATATGTTATTTAAGACAATGCGACTGAGCATATTACACACGATAAGCCTCAAGCAGTTTTGAAGGTGTTTTACCATATCCTCCTCCAATCCAAACTTCTATTTCTCGGCGATACTCATGAGCACGGTCAGAACTGATGGTCTTTCATCACCTACTTTTTCTTGCCTCTTATAGAGGAAGGTTTACTTAGTATAACCTATACGAGATTCGATGCAACCAACTAACTTACTCAAATTTACTTATGTCTTCCACGAGTCTCCAATTCTTTCCTATAAGTCTCCTTCATTAGAGCCGATCTCTTTGCGAGATTATAGACACAGTGCGTCACCTCTGCTTCGCAGAGGCTCGCACTGGCTACTCTATCTATATGCATTCCTCTTACTCGCATGATCTTACTTTGAAACTCACTATGTGATGCTGACCATCATGAACGAATTGTGAACAACTACTCATTTTATGAGCTTTTCCATGTAGGAGCGGTAAATTGGGAAGAGAAAATTTTTGCGTAGAAGATCAGAAGAGAATGTCGGCCAGGTACTGAAGTTATTATTGCCGATTAGTTTTTACAAAAGATAGTTATTTTTGTCCCTTAAATTTCTGAGCAGAAATCTGCGCAAAAAATTAGATGAAACCTTGACAAATTGATGATCTACGCAAACACTCCTTTTTGGCGCTAATTTTGCGTAAAAATAGATATTTTGCTCACTTTCTGGACTTAAGCCTATGGTCTGCACATTTACTTGTTAAGCAAATCCACAACTTCGCAAAAAGTACAATCATCGACCCACATTCGTCGGTCAAAAGTCGCGCGGACCGTTTGATGCCCAGTTCCTGAAGGTTCCAATTATCGGATCGGCGTGTGCTTTTGCAATATTTACCTACATGCTGGAAGGGTGCCATGACCAAAATTTCAGCTCAAGTCCATGACTACAACACGCTCTCTGAATTTCGTGACAGACAGATATACACCCACAGACAGACAAACAGACAGACGCTTAGCGCTTTATTGTTAAGTAATGATACTTAGTAAACCTCCCTCTATAAAACGCAAAAAAAGTGAACTATGAGATGCCTCCATCATATGTGAAGCTTCAAAAAATCTCATCCATAAGGTTTTCTTAAACGTATCAGGAGAAGGGTTAGCTAACAAGGGAAGGATACTCGGTCGAAGTGGCCATTTGGAATGAGCTGTATATTAGGAAACCGTCCTCCGTAAGGCAAACTCGAAACTACTTTCGCTAGGTGCCGAGCGGTTTTGTGAGGGGAGTTACAAGGCCATTTTCCTCCGGCGCAGCCAGCGCACCCAGTGATGAGCGAGGCGCTAGAGTAAAGTAGCTGTGTGGCAGTGGCGCAGTGGCAAGGCATCGGACTACGAAGCAGATGGTCGAGGGTTCGAGTCCTGTTGCTGTTATTTTGTTTTGCAGTTCTGTAAAAAGTTTTTTGGGTGACAGCAAACGAGGAATACTATTTCTGGGCAGTTTAAACAAGCTATTTACTGCAAAAAAGTCACTCTACAATAAGCCATAATCTTTTACAATATGTAAATCTGTGGAGGTTATGATGTCACAACAAGGGATTCATTTATTGGCTCTTGATCCGAACTTTACCTTGCATCATAGGGATTCCATCCCTAAGATCTTATTGCTCATTTACACGCAGTTTTGGTCGCCGCGATTCAAAAATTTCCTTTCATACCCATGGCATGCAGCCAGATACATTGGTAACCGCCCCGGCGAATTCGAGTCTCCTATTCAGTACTGTTTTTCACCGATTTTGATAAGCAATTGTGAAGCTGCTGATTGTCATCGTTTTATTTTATCCGATGTGCGCGCTGTGAGAAGCTCTTCTACTTTGAGCATTTTGTGGTTGTATTCCATACATGTTAATATATCACTTAAATCTCTTGTTGTGACATCATAGCCTTCACAGATTTACATATTATAAAAGATTATAGCTTATTGCAGAAATAGTGGCTTTTTTGCAGTAACTCGCTTGTTTCGACTGCCTAGAAATAGTATTTCTCGTTTGCTGTCACCCAATAGACTTTTTACAGAACTGCAAAACAAAATAGCAGCAACAGGACTCCAACCCTCGACCATCTGCTTCGTAGTCCGATGCGTTGCCACTGCGCCACTGCCACACAGCTGCTTTATTCTAG